GCCGCCTCTAATCTTGAAGTTTCCAATCCAAACCGTTGTATTTGAAACAGATCCAAAATATGCACGATAATGGCTTGGTTCTTCAATCATTTGATGTAAACAATAAAATAATGCATTTATCATCCTATATATATTTTTTGAAACCATAAATAATTTAAATCTTCTCGTATTGGGATTGAACCCATGACCTCGTAGTTAGTTGTTAGATTAAGTAGGAAACTTCATGCCAATCCTTATATTTAGAACAAAATATTCAAACATCCATTTTTGTATCGAAACTGTTTTATTTGAATTTAACAAATCAGAATATTCACCAACGGGCTTCTAGCGCAGCGGCATCAGGTGGTGCCCTCCCTCCTTGAGGTCGAGGGTTCAAGTCCCGTCGTGGACGTATGTGAATTTAGGTGTTAGTTTAGGAGTAGATTATATATTGTATTTGCCGGTAAAAAAAAAGTAATAATAACAAATCAGAATATTCAATTGATATCCAATATATTTATGATGAAATGGATTACCAGTCTTTATTTGAAATCCGGATAGTTATACAAAACGGTGTTATTGTAAAACTAATTTAAATTAACAATTAGTTATTTTATGCAACAAAATTAATTAAAATCTTCGAATATATTACAAAGTTAAATAAATAAATTATCATGGGATTAGTCGGATAAATAATTATGATATCTTAGCAATAGGACATCTAATGTTGTATTCAAATAAGTCTTTGAAAATTTTGTGATTCACGACAATTCTTTAAAATATGTCAATAGTTTCTTTAATTAGTATAGATTGAAGTACTTACTTATTCATCATTTTTGGTTGTATTTCACAATTTACTTTAAAACTTCTTCATGTTTATATCTTCATATATAACTTTTTTTAATTAACCCGTATAGTACACGAGTCTTACAACTAGTAGATAACATAGGGAAATCTTGTATACACTACTAGAAAAATATAAATAGAATACAGTTGTTAGCATCGTCTGTATTATTAGAAAAGGAAAAAAAGAACATATATAATTCAATATATAATACAGTTAAATGAAGACTTAGAGTACAATCATATGAAATGAAAAATCGTATTTAATTATTGGCTTACACTCACCAAAAGGCTTCTAGCCCAGTGGTATCAGGTGGTGCCCTCCCCATTTGAGGTCGAGGGTTCAAGTCCCATTGTGGACATATGTGAAATTAGATGTTAGCTTAGGAATAGATTATATATTTGTATTTGTCGGTTAAAAAAAATGAGTTTACACTCTTTAAGTGTGGGCTGTTAATTCCCAATGGGTCATTATGTAGATTTAATGCTATTGGATCAGATAATCGGGCTTTGATGAGTTTTAAAATAAACTTGGTTCATCAATTCAGATCATTTGATTGTGTTTATTAAACTTGAACTTATGAAGGGGCAAATTTCATGGATTAATAATTAATGATTAAAGCTAGTTTTCGGGTTCAAATATTGGGTCAAAATACAAACTTAGCTAAGCCTTATTAAACTTTATTAATGTGTGTTTAAAACTATAATTCGAGTATCTAAAATGATAATTTTATGTGGTTAAAATAAATAAGGAAATTAAGTATATTATTTTGGTAAGATGATTAATTATAAACAATTAAATTATCTAAGGCATATCATATACTTAATGGTGGAGGGTGTAATAGGTCTAACCAAACAATCGAGACACTTATGGTATTTATATTGGTCACATAGGGTTATCTGGCGACTGACTACGACTTTAGGAGTCAATTATTCTTGGCACGATAATAATGAAGATATAGTATGGAATGCTCAATTGTCTTTGAGGTTGATCCGGGTGTGACTACTTTCTGGTCCGCACCTTATAGAGATTTAAGTGTGCTTTTGATAAGGTGAGTCTCTTCTCACTTACTTGTGGGTCGAATGCACCAATGTCGGCCCAATAGATTGCAACGTGTATAATGTTAACTGTCTTTGTGACTCTTACATGTATGTTTGGGTTGAAATACACCCAGGGCAGGGCCCATTGATATGTATTGGGTTGAAATATACCCTAGGTTGGGCCCATTATTGTATGTTGGGTTGAAATATACCCCATGGCTGGGCCCATTATTGTATGTTGGGTTGAAATATACTCCAAGTCTGAGTCCATTATTGTATGTTGGGTTGGAACATACCCCAGAGTTGGGCCCACTAATTTGTATGGTATGTGGTATGTTGGCGGAACTCACTAAGCTTTGTGCTTACGGTTTATGTTTAAAATGTTTTCAGGTACATCTGGTTTCAAAAGGAAGAATCCGACTTGATCGCACTGCATCCCCTGAAGATTTATTTCACATTAATTGTTTTTGATTTTACTCTGATGTTTTGAGAATACTTTTAATCTGATTGTCGTTTGAGTTAATGAATGAGTGATTTTGACTTACTAAAAATGAATTTTTTACTCGATATTTTTGGGATGTTACACAAATATATTTAGTTCTACCCACGAAATATTGATCCCTAACATTACATTAGTTCCATACGCATGCTTACGCAATCTGCACCACCATCATCACCACAACGATCACAATCATTTTTCATGCCACCATCACTACCCTTCACAGTTTCCTCTGAAAATTAATGCATCGACTACGATATAATCACTTCTGAAACCAAATCTAATTAAGCTTCTGCAATGACTTTGAAAATTCTACTGGATTTCTTCTTTCATCTTGAAAATCCATTGACGAGCTTCAAAGAATACCAATCCTATACATTACCGTTTCTGTTTGCTGATGAATAAGTTCTTGTCCCTAAAGTAAACTAGGTTTAAAGAGACTCGATCTCAACTTGTCTTATTTCATCGTGTGGTTTGGTGTATGTATCTCAACTTTCTTTGTTAATTGATTTTATGACGAAATTATGATTTCCTTGGTTGTGATTAAAAGGTTGTACGTTCACTATTACCTTTGCTTTTTAGATGAGCACCAAGTGTTAAAAGGAAATTCCCCAACGACATGTTTATTGATTGGATTACTTTGTGAACATGTTTTTCCTTTGTTTTCTTTATTTTTTCAAATATCTGGATCAATTGCCTCTATAATGTTACCATCACTTGTAAATTCTCACAATTTTTTATTATTATTATTTTTTTTAACATATCTTAGATGGGAACTAGTTTCAGCATGTGATGATTCTTCGTACCCACCACGACAAGAAGGTAACTACACAAATTGCTATTATCTATCTTTATTATTATTATTCATACATTAAGATCAGAGAACGTTATGTTATTATTTCAAGCTAGTGTGTTTTTCCTTCATGCTCAAATGGGAGAATACCAAAATGGCCTTATTGAAGAATTATTGGAGTGTACTCTTTTACTAGAATAAGTACTCATTTTTTTTTTATTTAGTGTACCATATTTGTCTGTGTGCTTGTATATATTTTGTATTTCATATTGTGATAAGTTTGATGTTTGGTGTTAATATATTGTTATAGAGTACATGATGTAAAATATTGTTAGTTTTAATACAAAAGTGTATCATATGAGATTACAAATGGTTATAGAATACAAAACTCTAATCTAATACACCCGTGATATAATCATCCGTATTATATATGTAAATATTACCTTACTACAATACACCCCTGATATAATCATCCGTATTATATATGCAAATATAACCTTACTGTAATTTTCATTTTCTAGTAGTGATACTACATTAATTTTTACAAAAAATTCTAGGAAATAAGGAATCATTAAGACGAATGCCAGGGGAAGGACGAAAGTAATAAAAAATTACACTTTATATATTTTATTTTTCTAAATTAATGTAACTTTTTAATTTTTTATTCAAAGATGTATTTTTATTTTTAATTAATATTAGTTTTATTGAATACAAAAATAAGAATGGTGGAATGATCGAGTATTTTTATAAGGATAAGGTGGTATGATTTGAGGCTGATGTTACAATATTTTATTTTTGGTGTGGTGGGGAAATAACTGACCAATATTGTAAACAAAACTTACCGACATGAAATATGTCGACGAACCAAATCTTGTCGACACGGCGTGACTTCACAAATTGACTCTTATGACTTTATCTATAATATAATATATGTAGGTTTAGAATCCATTCGTTTGCTGAATGTATTAAAAAGACAGTCCATAGTATAATGCTTACAACGTGTGGTTCTCTCATATGCGCATCTTCATTTCACCGCGTATACCAGCTTTTCATCGTCTCACTTTCCAGTTTCCTCTATATAAAGCCCCCCAAATCTCATAAAATAAAACACAAGAAAATCACAAACGAACCAAGGTTGTTCAATACTACGTTTTCAAGCTTCTTCTATATCTTATCGAGTGAAAAGAAAAATGGCACAATACGAAGGAGATCAAAAATATGGAAGAGAAGGTCGGCAAACAGATGAGTATGGCAACCCTGTTCGGAACACTGATGAGTACGGAAACCCACTTCACTCTAACACCCCTTTTGCCGGTACGGGCACCGGAACTAGGACAGGCTACGATCAAGAAGGCCACGAGAAGAAAGGGGTGATGGAGAATATCAAAGAAAAACTTCCCGGTGGTCACAACACGAACGAGCATCAAAGGGTGTCCACAACAACGGCAGGAGGCCACCATGGCATTGGTGGTGGTTATGTCGAAGGAGGGGAAACCCACGAGAAGAAAGGGGTGATGGAGAAGATCAAAGAAAAGCTTCCCGGTGGTCACAACACGGACGAGCATCAAAGGGTCTCCACAACAACAACAGCCGGTGTTGGTGGTGGTGGTTATGGAGAAGGTAGGGAAACCCACACCAAAAAAGGAGTGATAGAGAATATAAAAGAAAAGCTTCTTGGTGGTCACAACACGAACGAGCATGAAAGGGTGTCCACAACAACGGCAGGAGGCCACCATGGCGTTGGTGGCGGTTATATAGAAGGAGGGGAAACCCACGCCAAGAAAGGGGTGATGGAGAATATAAAAGAAAAGCTTCCCGGTGGTCACAACACAAACGAGCATCAAAGGGTGACTACAACAACGGCAGGAGGCCACCATGGCGTTGGTGGCGCTTATGTGGAAGGAGGTGAAACCCACGAGAAGAAAGGGGTGGTGGAGAAGATCAAAGAAAAGCTTCCCGGTGGTCACAACACGGACGAGCATCAAAGGGTCTCCACAACAACAACAACAGGCGGTGTTGGTGGTGGTGGTTATGGAGAAGGTAGGGAAACCCACGCCAAAAAAGGAGTGATAGAGAATATAAAAGAAAAGCTTCCTGGTGGTCACAAGACGAACGAGATTCAAAGGGTGTCCACAACAACGGCTGAAGGCCATCATGGCGTTGGTGGCGGTTATGTGGAAGGAGGGGAAACCCACGCCAAGAAAGGGGTGATGGAGAATATAAAAGAAAAGCTTCCCGGTGGTCACAACACAAACGAGCATCAAAGGGTGTCTACAACAACGGCAGTAGGCCACCATGGCGTTGGTGGCAGTTATGTGGAAGGAGAGGAAACCCACGAGAAGAAAGGGGTGATTGAGAAGATCAAAGAAAAGCTTCCTGGTGGTCACAACACGGACGGACATCAAAGGGTGTCCACAACAACATCAAGTGGCGTTGGTGGTGGTGGTTATAAGGAAGGACGTGAAACCCACGAGAAGAAAGGGGTGATGGAGAAGATCAAAGAGAAGCTTCCTGGACATCATTAGATCCTATGGTATCTTTGCGAAGAATCATATGTATATACACAATAATAATATGGTATTGTTGTCATTTGTCATGTATGTTGTTGATGGGTAACAAGTAGAGAGATGAGATTGAGCGTTGTATGGTGTGTTATCTCGCATGTAATTTGATTTAGTTTTATTGTGTTTATGGAAGATACTTTGGTTTTCTTGAGATTATAATTAATACTAGTACACAACAAATTTAATAGTCCGATGGATTTTTTTAATTGGTGCGGTTGTAGCCTTAAACAATATTATTAAATCACCTATAACTATTTTCGCATCAATACACCAAGAAACCGTACCATTTAAAGTATTTGTTAGTACGGTTTCATAAAACTGCATTAAAATGCATTTATTGGTGCGCGTGTTCAACATCACACCATTAAACATTGTTATTTGGTGCAAAGGTTTATAAATCACACCATTAGAACATGATTTTTTTTAAAGCGGTTTACGTATAACTGTACTAAAAATGCATATATTGGTGCGCTTGTCTAAAACCTCACCATTAGATATTGTTATTTGGTTAGAAGGCACTATTAGATATTGTTATTTGGTTAGAAGGTTTATGAATCGCACCATTAAAACACTTTTTTTGGTGTGATGTTTTATAAATCACACAATTAAAACTCGATTTAGCCATTTTGAGTTTTTAACATATTTTCAAAATCACACTTCTTATTATTCATCGAGATCCTCTATGCACAAATTCGTCAAAAATTCGAAATTTCTCCATTAAATCATACTCCTCGTGTACATCATTTGTTTGTTTCTTTAATATGTTGTTTTATATATAT